GCCAAGCCGTCCGATCGACTTGTGTTGCCTACTGAGACAAGATTTTCTTGCGGAAATAGAGGATGAGAACATCCCGCACAAGAATTTAGTTAGGCAGATAGGCCAATCGAAGAAAACTTGTGATAAATGGACAATTTCTTGAATTTTGGTGTAGCAAACGGTCTCTTAGCTCTTCTCCCCTTTTTGTATAAAGAGTTAGTGCATTCCGACCCTTTTTATTTGTTAAGGTCATAAAAGCTCGGACTGTGGGTGAGCCAATTCTGATTACGCTGGAGACCAAAGACACCGTAGCCGCTAGGGCGTAGGTATCCTGCAGTCCGACCAGTTATACTCAGAGCTTGTTCCCTTAAACCTAGCTCCTAGGTCCTAACGTAAAAAGGGGGGCAGGCACAGAAAATGTTTGCCGGATAGATACGCTCATATCAGCCTCTGAGTGAGATCTGACCCCTCACCGTTGCTGGGGTCAGATGTCACTGAAAAAATCAGGGAGTTCGATAACAAAACTGATAAGAGAAAATGTGCATTTATTTAAGGGTAAAAGCGACATGTAGGGGTTATAAACGGGCGAGAGAGGGACAGGTCCCAAGTCTCTGATGGAGAGGTCGAATGGGCGCTGAGAGCTTGGTTGCTGCTCGGCTGTGTGTGATGTGATGCGTGGTATGTTGAATCGATCGGTCAGCTTACTGGGGTGCCCTGCCTTCCCTTTTATAGACCAAGGGGAAGCAGGGATTACAGATGGGAGAAAGAAAAAAAATCAGAGACCAAGGAGGTCCTTCAAAGATGTCGGGTCTTCCTTTTCCTCTGAGCGAGCCCCGTTGACATGGCAGATAGTGCCAAGGATAGCTCCATGTCGGGTGCATGTCCGCTGATCCTAATAGGGCCTTGCTAGGCATCTTTCCGCTGATGATGCCATGTTCTGGCTTTGTCAGCAAGTGGTCACGTCCCATCCCGCCTCGGCGGGCAGCGCGACGGACCAGGGTGCTGATCCATGACCCTACGGGGAGCAGACGGCGCAGTGACCGCACATCCATTATTGTAGATGATGCGAGTCTCCTCCTGGACCGTAGTGGTTGTCATATTCTTCCGTCAGGATCCGCGCCCGAGGGCAAATGGCGGCGCCCACAACACTGTAAGACAAATGTCGGCGCCTACAACACTGTTCGGGTTTTGACATGCCTGGAAGGTCTTAAAGCGCCCCTCTTGTCATATCCTGACGGTACTTTCCTACAGGTGTGCAGGGTATGGTCCTCGGTATTGCGGTTGACTTGAGTGCCCTGCCTTATCTGCGCGCGTAGTTATGAAGGAGCAGCGTGCAGACGTCGGGTGAGGCGGAGCCAGCCCCCGGACGTCGAGTGAGGTGGAGTCTGCCCTCAGACATCGGGCGAGGCGGAGCCAGCCCTCGAACGTCGAGTGAGGCTGAGTCTGCCCCCGGACGTTGGGCGAGGCAGAGCCAGCCCCCGGACGTCGGGCGAGGCGGAGCCAGCCTCCGGACGTCGGGTGAGGCAGAGCCAGCCCCCAGACGTCGGGCGAGGTGGAGCCAGCCCTCGGGGTTCGAGTGAGACAGAGTCTGCCCTTAGACGTCGGGCGAGGTAGAGCCAGCCCCCGGACATCGGGCGAGGCAGAGCCAACCCCCAAACGTCGGGTGAGGCGGAGCCTGCCCTCGAACATCGGGCGAGGCAGAGCCAGCCCCCAGACGTCGGGCAAGGCGCAGCCAGGCCCCGAATGTCGGGCGAGGCGGAGCCAGCCCTCGGGGGTCGGGCGAGACAGAGTCTGCCCTTAGACGTCGGGCGAGGCGGAGCCAGCCCTCTGGAGTCAGCTTGAGGCAGGACCCATGGTCTCGGTGGACGGACGAGGAGTGACCCGGCAAGCGGTGTAGTCGCGCTCTTGATCACGCGGATGAATCAACATTGACGGTCATTAGCTCCTCCTCTTCGGGTACCCTAATATTGGTCCCCAACAGTAGCCCCCGATCCCCCGGGCAATTCAAGTAGAATTGCCAGGGGGATTTTTTGACTTGCCAGTGAGTGCGCGCGAGCGCACCCTGTGGGTAAAGCCCCCGAGCCTGCGGAGGAGTAGGATACTCCTTCGGAGGGTTTTCCGAAAGAAAGGATTCTTAGAGCCCTGGCCCTCTATTGTTGCCCAGGGCGTGCCCTGAAGACGGTGAGTTCTCCTTCGCCGAGGTTGGACCCTTCGCGGGTGTGGCCATGAGACTTGATGGTTTGTTAGCCGGATATCTCAATTGGGATCCTAGTATCCCATTCGCGGGGATCCGGCCAGGGTCAGCCTGGCTGAGACTCGATCGTGGGCCGAGACTCCCATGAAGCTCGTGCGCTTGAGATTTGGCCGCTCACGGGGGCCCATCTTTTGTCGTAAGGGTGCCTTGGGACAGCCGTCAAAACCGTTGATGGGCCAGCCCTTGAACTCTTGGGCCCAGGCAGGCTGAAGAAACGCTTTTTGACCCGGAAATCCCTTTTGCTGGTAAAGAGTCCTGGTTTGTCCGGGGAGGCAAAAAGTCTAGCGTGTCCTCGAAGGAAAAGGATAGGGATTGCGGGCTCATATCCCATGGCGTGACGTGGTGGCTGATCATGGCAGGCGCGGAGATCCAGGCGGACGGTTGCTTTCCTCGCATCCATCACCCCTATAAAACCAAAGGGTTCGCCCCCAGGGTTTCGTACTTTGCCTCCTTGCCTTTGCATCTACAACCTCCGTCGCCAATCGCCTAAGCTTCTCGCGTCTGTGTCTCAGCCATCGTCGAATTTGCATCCACCCACCCCAATCCTCCAATGGAGCCATGGTGCCGCTCTGATATCACCCTTCAACGCCTAGAGGGCCTCGTTCGTCGGGGTCTTCTTTGCGCACGGACTGCCGCCGAGGAGTGGTGGCTGCTCGGTGATGAGGACGCGCCGTCGCCGCCCAACAGCTACGTCATGTCCTTCACTCACTTCCACGAGCAGGGATTCGCCACCTCCGCCCACAAGTTTCTTTAGGGATTGCTGCACTACTACAAGGTAGAGCTGCAGCACCTTAATCCCAACGGAATCCAGCACATTGCGGCGTTTGTCGCCCTGTGTGAGGGATTCCTAGGGATTAGTCCCCACTTCGACCTGTGGCGGTACTTCTTCGCCATCACCCTCCTAAAGAAGCGGGAGAAGAAGCAGGAGTTGAACATATCGATAGGATGCGCCGGCATTCAGTTCCGCAACAACCGAGTCAGCGAGTACCCGCCGATGCGTCTGTCGACCTCCAACAAGGGGTGGCATTCGCATTGGTTCTACGTCAAGAACGACATAGCTGCCCCCTTGCCAAAGTTCACCGGGCGCCTCATCGAAGAGGCCCCGGACTCATGGAGGAAGTGGGGAGTTCCGGAGAAAAACAAGAAGAGAATCCGGGACCATCTCAATGTCATCCGAATCCTGAAGGAGAGGGGCATGAAGGGGTCGGGGATCATCGGCGCCTACCACACGCGGAGGGTGGCACCACTGATGAGGCGCGCGCTTCCCCTACACATGATGGCGTCAGCCCCTGGACGTCGGGCGAGGCGGAGCCAGCCCCCAGACGTCGGGCGATGCGGAGTTTGCCCTTAGACATTGGGCGAGGCGGAGCCAGCCCCCAGACGTCGGGCGAGGCGGAGCCAGCCCTCGGGGATCGGGCGAGACGGAGTCTGCCCTTAGACGTCGGGCGAGGCGGAGCCAGCCCTCGGGAATCAGCTTGAGGCGGGACCCATGGTCTCGGTGGACGGACGAGGAGTGACCCGGCAAGCAGTGTAGTCGCGCTCTTGATCGCACGAATGAATCAACGTTGACGGTCATTAGCTACTCCTCTTCAGGTATCATAATATTGGTCCCCGACAATACCCTTGAATTTAAGTAGGCCAGCCCCACGTGACTGTATGAATATGAAACCTACTCAAAGCACATTTTATACCTCCTGCTAGCTAGTAGGCACTGGGTTCTATTATTAAGCTTCTATATTATTTATCACAAATCGAATAAACGGAGCAAGGGCGGACCCAGGAAACAACATGGGTGTACACATGTACATCCAATAAATTTTGCAAAAACAAAAAACAAAGTAGCAGACATAATAATATACATTTATACACTCGAAATTGATTTTGGAACAGGATACATTGAAAAGAAGGGGGTACAAATGTCTTCGCAACAGGATGGGGGCAGTACCTCAGCTGGCCGGCATCCTTTTTTCGGTAATGGCAGCTTTGGGTTAGATGCCTCTGTCGTCATGTTCGGCTTACCTTAAAAGCTGGTTTGTTCGGCTTCTTTTTTTCAGTCAGAATAGTATTTTTCTCTCACAACAATTCAGCTTTGGTTTGTTTTTTCAGCCAAGCAAACATGTCACCCAGTCATTGGAGAACAGATGCACATCTGAATATCTGGAGCCATAAAAGATGAATCTCTCTTTTTACCAACTGGTATTATGTATGCTTTCCTTTCACGATTTTTTGAATGTATGGACGTTAACCAAGCCATAGTACAGTGCTGCCAATGAATTGCATGCATCTTAACCCATGAAACATCTTGAAGGATAGGTACAAGAGAATTTCGGAGAACAAAGAAAGAGAACCTTATAACTTGGTAAACAGTAATACTAGTTTCTCATTAGTAATCACACAGGAACACTAAAAAAAAGAGAGCTCCCATTTCGAGTCAGTACTACAATTCAACTCAGAATTTCCATTCAGCAGAACATAACAAAATTCACTAATATGCAGAAGAACAAAAGGTAAAAGCATCAGCAACACAGAAACTAAGATTATACAGTCAAAACATCGGTCGTCTAATGATCATCCGCCGAACCAACTATCCATGTCTCCATTCCCGTCTACTGTTAGGCTTTCCGAATGCACACTGCAGGGACGACGCACTGCATGTCACGAGATTCCAGCTCGTCCTGTGTTGACAATGCTAGTCATGGCAGAAGTGGGTCGACCTCCCGCTCTTAGCATTTCAAAGATGCCTCCTGTGATCTTTGTGCTGGCTGGCTCACCTAAGATGACCTGTCGCAGGGATCACGGGATACCGCACAATCCCAAGAGGCATTTTTGTGTTGTTATTAGGATTCTCTCCTGCTCCACCACCATCACAACTCGGTTCCAGCAAGCGCATTAGGGAAAGGAAGATTTCCATTCTAGTCACATCCCTGTTGGCCTGCATAAACACAGTAAAATAAGAACTTCCATAAAGCAGACAGTGGAGGAAGCAAAAGAAATCTGAAGTCATGAAAAACATATATATTATGACATGCTCTGAGGAGAAGCTATTCTAGCCTTCTGAGTTCTCAGCCAACCTAGAGAACTTTCATAATGCATTGAACTGCTTACCTCAACAGCGAACCGTGCCCAGATTTTATTTTTGCGTGCTTCCATAACACCCCTTAAGATGGTTAATCCTAGTCCTTTAATAAAGTCAGCTATCTCCAAGAAGATACCTCTATCCTCACAAAGCATCTACAGAGGCAACACCATCAGCAATATGCATGCATTGACAATAATAAGAGTTGAAAGAACCAGCAATAGCAGAATCATTTACCTCCACAAGCATCTGACGAGGCCGCTCAAGATCCTCGACAATGATTGGACATGTCATAGATTGACTACCAACATCAAAGGCCCAAGTTGCACCACCTTCGAAGTAGTCTTTAAGTGGACCATTCTCACCACCAAGAATCTGTTTGGAGTTTACCCATAGCCACACAACGCATTGCATGAGGTTAGTAACTATTACCTTCTCAAAAAGGCTGCAAATTAGATGACAAAATTAATAAATATGTGCATACCTTAGATTCACTTGAGTCCTTGAGGTTATCTGCATGCTTTGTCACACTTTGCAAGAAAAGCATGTGCTTAATGGTCTTCTCCAACAATGCATCAATGCTACACTGTTGACAAAAAATGCTGTGAGACTAACAGTCATTGCACAAGCATATAAAGTTTGAAACAAGTGCAATTGAACCTTAAATAATCCTAAATTCCTAACACACATTTGAAATTCACGAGTAGAAGAAGAGGATACCTTTATGCCATTAGGTACAAGTTCCCGGAGCTCCTTTATACGATCCTGAATAAGCTGGCGGTCCTTTGGTCGTGGCTTAGGATTCTCTCCTGGTCGAGACCTCTTTCGACTTGCCTTGCTTGACGTATCAACACCCTTGCTGTTTGAGGCCGAGGCACTTTCACATTTCATGTTCTGTCCGCTCTCAATCCAGAGGCGTATCTGAGATTTCTGTATTGCATTATTTTGAGAAAGACAGCCATCCTCTGCCTTTTCTGGGAAAGATGACTGTTTAACAAAATTTGAAACGGCTAACTCATTGTTGATTAGCAGAGGAGCAACCTGCTTTGGCTCTTTTAAGCGACCATACGAAGTGCTAGGAATATCTGTCACTGAAGTCTTGCAAGAAGCACTGTCACCAGAGATCTGCTTGCCACCAGGATTGGCATTGGAGACAACTGCATCCAACAGTTGGTCGGTATCAGTCAGTGAGAAGATCCCAGAATAAGGGAACTCGTCATCCACTGAACTGAAGGCTGGAGAGGAACCAAGATGAACAGAGGATTCAGGTACATCTCTATTTGAACTCTCAGGTTTTGCAGCTTTCCAGGTAAGATCATTATCCACATTGCGGCACAAATGATGAAATTCGGAACCAAACATGTCAAACAAATCACTTTCTGCAGCAGGATCCATAAGGAGCGGCGGTGATCTCTCATTAGATATGTCTGGGAGCCTGCGGCGATCCATATTCTTGACAGCTTGAACAATTGCATCAGTAGGGTCATGCACTTCATTAGCCTTTTTTGGGCCAATAAGATCTGAGGTACTCATCTGATTCTCTTGAGAAATGGCTGTTTTCAAGCCACCAGAAACCTGAATATCAGAGCCAGACGACAGAGCAGCAGAAGCTTGGCATGTCTCTCTCTTGGGACTCTCCGTTTTCCTAACAAATTGGGTAGATTGGGGCATTTTATATGAAACAGTTGGCCTGTGCCCTGTCATCCCAGAAGTAGAACTCCATCTTTGGTCTAAAATTTGATTTGCTGTGCTGCCATACAGGTTACCCTTGACTACCCTAGTGCCTTCTGGGAGAAAATCAAAACCCCCATGACCATTAACAAAACCTGGCACCTGGCCTATGCCATGCAACAAAGTCATGTTTGTGTTCTCATGGACTAAAGGGTTACGGTATGCAAGAGATTTCAAGAGAACATTTCTGGGATCTGATGATTCTCCAGGGTGTCCTTGTTCTAACTGTTCACTGTTGGTCATCAATGGATGCCTTTCCATTGATGCTGAGATAGATGAGATAAAACCAGAGCTCACAACACTACTTTGGGTGTTACTCTGAACTCTCCTGTCACAGTAAGGGTTTTGCGGTCTGAATCTCATGTCAGGAGCATATAGAATGTGTTCTTTACCCACTTGGCCATTTCTTTGTGCAACCATAAGCATTGAAGCATTACTGCCCATGTTTGCCAATGTACTACTAGACACAGTTGTGCCATCAGGACCATAACATTGTTGATATGTCATTGGGGATCCACTAAAAACCTTTGAGCGTGTATCTGCAGGGTATATACTTGTGGGGCCACTCAAAGGGCGTGACTGAACTTTCCGGTTCGAATCATTTTTAACAGATGATGATGAAGCCATACTCGACCGATTGTTCAGCTGAGAACACAGCTTCTTATACTGGAGCACAAGGTTGGTATTTTCCACTACCTGCCAGAAAATAAGCATTCATATAAGTTCTAACATGTCATAAGCATGGTTAGTAGAGTTAGCATAAAGAGATATCTGAGAATCTTTTTTTTTTCTTATTTCTTTCACAGCAATCCTAAGTGCAAAAATAGAGCACAATTATCACAAGTTGTTTTTCTTTTCAGGGTTCCGCTACTGTCCACAAGAAGGTTTTGTCTCCTCGGATCTCACCACCATATAGTTTATATACAGAGATCAAGGGAACAGACATTTGACCAGTCAACAATGTAACACAGTCATAAAGTAGCACGTCATGGCCATATAATAATGACAGAGAACAACTTCAAGACATGTAGAACAACATATACTATATAGTAATCCCAGTTGCTAAAGCATGGATATCTTACCACACTTGTAGAGCCTAGCTGCAGTACACCTCGTGGTAACACAGGAATAATTGCAATAGTCTGCAGACAATAACTTATTGAGAGCTCCAAAGCAAACATTGTTTCAGTGAATAATCCACCATGCAAGGAAAAAAATCGTACTAACCTGAATGCCAGCTGCAAATTGATGATTCATCTCAGCGGCAAGCTATCATCGTAAGAAGAACATAATCAGTTTGGTGTTCCATCACAGAAGCTCATATTACAATTTAAAATCCCCCAAACAAACCAAACATTTATCTGCTTAGACAATAAAACATTTATCTGCTTAGACAATAAGTAAGAAAGACCCCAAAGATATTGAGGAAATCCTCATGGTGCGTGCATGAAGGGAAATGCCATCATGGTTGACTTCAGCTCTAGGGCAAACCATACAAACAAGAACCTTGAAAGATGTCTCAACTTATTTCGCGTGTCTATTTGTGTGCTTTCGCAGCTAGCTTATCACAATGACAGCTTGCTCACAGAATAATAGACCAAACTCACTACATGCCAAAGTTTCAAGGCGTAGAACAAATACTCGAGGACAAAATAACCCCACAAGGACTTCTGCAGTGGCATAAATCCCTTGGCCTCACGCTTTAAATACAGTGACAGCAAAATGGACCACGGAAAAACTGAAATTGGGCTACATTTATATCAGTTCACAAGGGAAGTAGAAGGAATCGTACCTCGGGTCTGAGATTGTGATCATTGGCAGCAGGATCATGGACAATCCATTGATGATTTCCAGTGAAAGCAGCACGGCCAATGGTACTGAAGAGTACAAACACAGCATACATATATCAGTGAAGCTTGAACTTCTCCAACAAGGCCGAAGCACTTATTAGCAGCTAAGAACATTTTAACAAGCAAAACACAATTCGTGCTTACCCTTCACCAACAACATGAATTTGCGAGGCCATGACCTTCCTAACAAGCGTGCACACACTGGTGCCCGGCTCACACCCAGCTTCAGGAGCCTCAGATCCGGCGGAGCATGACGCGTGGCCGCAGCAACCGTCCTCCCACACCAAATGACTGCACGTCACCGAGGCGAAGACACAAATCAGCAAAGAACCGCTGAATTCGTGCACTAAGCACATCATCACGAAGCTAAATGCGCAGCACATTAGCGTTACACAGAAATGCAAGCGCATTTCACGCATTCCCGCCCTTTTACACCCCAAGAACTCACACGCATTAGCACGATCTCAATGGGTACAGGTTCCAGTAAATTTGCAGCGGCGCCAAAAGTGCATACACGTTCTTTGTTCGTTTGAAGTAAAGAGCTCCCATAACGGGAAGGATGTCGAGGAATATGCCCATCCGAATGTTCCCCACGCGCGCTTCGCTTGTCTAGCAGGCAAATCTAGCTGAAACGGAATGCGCAGCAAAACTCCAAAGCCCAAACCCGGGGAGCGAAAAGTTGCATACGAACGTTCCGAAAACAAATGGGATGGGATTTCTTCGCAAATCGAGCTGCAGGAGAAGCTTAAGATCCGAGAAAAACCGGGAGAGGAAAAAAAAACAGGAGGAGGAAGGAGGGGCGGAGCTTACACAGGGTCGGCGGCGCCGATGGCCTTCCAGAAGACGGCGTAGGACCAGCCGACCTCCTCGCAGAGCCGGCGCAGCGCGTCCCCCACCGCCATCCCGGCGACGCAGGAAGAGAACCCTAGCTCCTCCGCGGGCCGCCGCCTGCAGTCCCCTTCTGAGCCTTCTCTCTGGCCTGCCTGGAACTGGAACAGGACGTGCGAGCAAACAAGCAAAGACGGGCGGCGGCGCCCTCCTCTAGGCAGCGCGGCGGCTAGCTCGCCCGGCCTGCTTCGCGCGGAGCCCGCCGGTTCTCCTCGTCCTCACGCTTCCCCTCGCCGCCGGCGCGCAGGCGCCCATCAGGGGGGCGGGCCCACTCCCAGCCTCCCAGCCAGCAGGCGCGGGTCCCAGCGTCAGCGTCAGCGTCAGGGGGGGGGGCGCTTCGCTTCACGCGGCGGCGGCGGCGAGCGAGCCTGCCTGCCCCAGTGCTGGGGCTCCGGGGGCTGAAGCTGGGGCTGCTGCTGCCGTGCTGCGGCCTGCGGCTCGTCAATGAGCCTTCTAGGAGTGTGCCGTTATAAATGATGGTCGTGGCGTGAGTGCCGCTGCCACGACACTTTACTTTTTTATCTTCCAAAATATTCCGTCCACTTTTTCATCTAACGACGTCTACGTGAAAAATATCCCAAATACTCTCACGTTGCTTCTTCACCATATCCTTCTTCATTTCCTCCGCCGGTCGTCTTCGCCCCGTCCTCCACCGTGCACCGGGGCCAGGGAGCCCCACGTGCGCCAGGGCGAGGGGAGGAGCCAGCCGCACGGGCGCCGGGGCTGGGAGTGCAGCCGGCCTCGCGGACGTCAAGGTCGGACGGAGCCTAGCCGCTTGCTGCCTCGTGCCTCCACCACCAGCGCGCCCACCGACGCACTCCAATGATTCCACCGCTTCGCCATCGCGATCGACGCTGCAAGAATGATCGCACGGTGTTGATATGCGCCTACATGTGCCGCTGCCGCGCGCCGCTGGCGGCGCCTCCTCGCCCACCTAAACTCGTCGGATCCAACCTAGGCCTGCGCGCGCCAAGGCCGCCTCAAGCCGAGGACGCGCCGCCCCGACCCTACGCGCCGCCCGGGGCACGGACAGCTCGAAGACGAAGACGACGGCACCGGGGAGGCCAGAAGCGTGGCGGTGTAGTCGGAACCCGCGCGGCGCGTCAGGCGCGGCATGAGCGGGCGGAGATGGCGGAGACGGCGAGGGCGAGAAACACGCAGAGCGGGAGGAAGACCACCCAGGCGCGGCGAGGAGGAGGAGCTGGCAAGGCACGGGCGCGACGTAGTCACCGGCGAGCGCACCAGTGGAGGCTCGACGGGCGGCGCGCGACCTGGCTGCTTGGGGAAGCTCGGCCCCGGTCGCTGGTCAGCCGGCATGCTTATGAGTGCGACTTCTGGCGAGGCCTCGATCACATTGTCTTCACCGAGGCCTTGCGCAGCGTCGGGCCGGGGCTCGGGGCAGGCGGCGAACGCCGGCCGAGCGAACATCGGTGCTTCGGGGCCGGGCCGGCGCATCACGGACGCCGGCCCATCGGGGCCGCGGCCGGCGCATCGCAGATGTGAGAGGGAAAGGGGAGCCGGGCTCGCCGAACTTGGGAGGGGGCTCGCCGGAGTCAGGAGGACGACGCATCGTGGAGAGGGGCGCGTGTGCGGAAGAAGATGCCGATGGGAAAAATATAGGGAACAGTTTACGTCTTGACAGAAGGGTATTTTGGACGTTTTTACTGACTAGGCCCACGTGTCAGGGCTGGCAAACGGCAAAAATCAAACGGAAGGTGAACGGAATGGCTTGTGAGGCAAAAAAGTAATGTGACATAGCACATATATACGTTCGGACTTTTTAGTGGCACGTAGGCCGTGACCGTCTTTTTATAATGGCACATGGTTAAAATAGACTGTTCGCTGATTGATTTCTAGACTGATAAACTCAGCTGATGCTATTTTATTGTAAGAGAAAAATACTAACGAACGTGCCGAAGCCAACAGGCTGAAAGGCTCCTCGTCAATGTCCTGGTGCGTCTTCTTCCTGGCTCGCTCGCTGGCTTTGGCTTCTTTGGCTTCTCGCTTCTCTTCTCTTCTCTTCTCGGGTTTGGGTGCTCTAGTGTGTTTTGGCTTTCTCTTTCTTGTTGCTTTGGTGTGCTCGCCCTTTTGCGTTTTCTCTTTCCTTTTTTTTCTCCTCCCCTGCTCCCGAGGCAGGTATCATTCCCTCCACGAGGGGCAAAATCGGGATGCTGATGCTACCCTACGTTTTAGCCACATCATTTCATTTGTGCTGCCATTCACCACGATTCTGAGGATGTTTTACTTTTTCTATAGCAGGAGGTTTTTACTTTGACATCTCCATTTACAATCCACCATGATTCTGAGGATGTTTTTACTTTTTTTTATAGCAGGAGGTTTTTAATTTGACATCTCCATTTATGGGGTGCTTGATGTAGGGACTAAAATTTAAGAGGTGTCACATCAGATGTCGCATAGGGTGTTCGGATACTAATGAAAAAACAAATTACAAAATCCGTCAGTAATCCGCGAGATGAATTTATTAAGCCTAATTAATCCGTCGTTAGCACATATTTACTGTAGCACCACATTATCAAATCATGGACAACAACAACAACAAAGCCTCTAAGTCCCAAACAAATTGGGGTACGCTTAATAAATTCGTCTCACAAAGTAGTCTCAATTTGTGCATTTAGTTTCGTAATTAGTCTATATTTAATACTCCATGCATGTGTCCAAATATCCGATGAGACAGCAACTAAAGTTTAGGTGGTGGAACCAAACACCCCCTTACAATTACATGATTTAGTCGCCTCTCAGATCGAGATTTTATTGTACTAATCCTCCTGTCCCAAAAAATAAAAATCTCCTTTTCGTCCCTTAGACAATAACGCGTTTAACCAAATACATAAAAAGGTATTCATATTTATGATGCATAAAAAGTATCACTATACTAATTATAAAAACTTATTTTATAATAAACATATTTGGAGATAGAATGTTGATACTATTTTTTAATAAATCTAGTTAAAATGAAAATTGTTTAGCTCTTTATGAAACAAGATTTCCATTCTTTTTTGGAGTTGAGGGAGTAGCAATAACAAAGAAACAAGAGGTGTGTTTGATCAGTTTATTGTTGTATTTCAAAGAAACAAAAGGCATGAGTGCAAGATCACTTTGTTTACCAAAATCTTAAGAGGGCACTCATTTCAAAGAAAATAAAAATGAATTTACTCCACCTTTTTGTCCTTTAAAAAGGTTCACTAATCTAAATAAAAACATAAAAGAATTCTACTGTACAGAAGCACTATGGCCAAAAAGGGCAGAATGATTGAAAAACGTACTTTCCTTGTTTATATTTTTAGTCCTTTTCCGAATCCAAGAATTTAAATTGACAAGTTCTTCTTCACCTAGAAAAAATAATCACTTAGAATAGCCAAAAATTAGACTCTTTCATAAACTGATGTAAAGATCAGTTAGTTTGTCATAGTTTCTATTTAGGAAAAGATAATAAGATGACATTAGACAAAATGAACTAAAGAAAAGTTTAGAATTTAACTATCTTTCCATATAAAACAGAAATCAATGTAAGAACGGAAATAAATAGTAGTAGATAGGAGGAAGATCCTAACAGAGATGGAACTATTTATATAAATGTGAGTTGTACGAAGGCGTACTATATTGTACTACAATCATGATTAGAAAACGATAGGCATTGTTCTTCTAATTCTTTTCTTTTCAAGAATTATTTTTCTAGTTCTTCTTATACTAAAAGCAAGTGACATTACAAAGCTTTCGTCACATTTGCCAATGAGCAGCAATCCTTTTTAAAATCACGCCAAGTAGCAATTCCTTTTTAAAGCTTTACATACTATATTCAGAACCCTTCTAGAGAAGACAAATAGGATAATGTAAGCTAATCCAACAAATGGAATGTCGTGTACCAGATTTATACGTGAATTACAGATATGCCCTCGAGGATGCTGGACAATTGCAGCCCGTGCCAATATGGCCTTCAAAAGGTGGGCATGGAGTACAATTATGTGGTCGTGTATTCTTTTGAGGGAAGTGGTGGGGTAATTCTAAATTAACAAGCATATTAAATATTTTTTACTGAGGGGGCAAAAGGCAGAGAAGTAAACAATCAGATGGCAGAGCCTGCCTTCTCTTAGCCTAATTGAAACATTTTCCAAAGGCTG